AGTAATTCCATTTCGTTTATTCAATCCTTCTGCACATAGATTATTGCTTATTACGTCATTTAAAGCATGTGCTGTTAATGTTGCGTTTCCCTCCTTCCAATATAGCAATGCAATTCCATTTCAGACAGGTATTTCATACGTGTAACACAAAACTAGTAATACAAAAGATCACAAAAGGCGGCCCTGGCAACTTGAGAGAGGGTGGGGATGACTTATTTTGGAATTCCCATCTTGAATTTGGCTAATTAAATAGATATCTGAATAGCAGCAACTTTAATAGAGAGCCCCAAAACTGAAGGATGAAGTCTTGTTGGCAGAGGCTAAATGAAGAATGAAGTCTTCAATAGATGGAGTGCATGCGACCTCTGGCGGTTTCAAAGGCTAATGCATTTCTGAGCCAGTCGAATACAATCGTGTACCTCACTGTGCGTTATGGAGTAAAAGCGGACTCTGGCGCACTCCAGCGGCACAGCAGCATGCACCAGGCACACCTGAACAGCAATATGTGAATAGTTCGGGCAATTCGATCGTCTCTTCCCCCCGAATCTGCTTGGAGATTAGATAGGTCATTTATCTTTGCAAAGAATCTAATGATTTCGCGTCTGTGTGTGTGTGTGTGTGTTTAAATAGCAGTATTCACAGTGGCATTCACACCCCTGCCAGCTTTCGTTTAACTGCAGTGGGCCTTTTTTGGAAACTGAATTCGAAAGAGGATAAAACTCTTGGTTGATGACAGTCATTTCGATGATGGATGTAATACTGTATCTTAGGCCATGATTGACACGATAAGATTAATTATAGCTTGTACCAACACCCTCAGCTTTCAGTGTCCTGGACTATATGTTCACAATTTCCCCTGACAATTTGTAAACTCACAAATGCACCTCGAGCGAAATGTGTTGTACCATGGTTGTACTTGGTTGGTTTCGATGAGGAGTGAAGATATACGTGACCATGCATGCATGTATGATATTAAAGACGGACAAGAAAGGTAGGTAGTTTCTCTCCTACTGAATTGGAAATGTTAAATATTACGCCATGGTTCTGAAAGTGCAACCCTCTCAAAGGAATAGAATAGACCATACCCCCTTCTCCAATTATGGAACGACCGGAGAATAGCCACACTCACATCTGGAAGGACGTTTTGCGAGCAAGGAGTTCGAAAGTAAGAAATCCGATACAACTATTTTGGACAGCTACTAATCAAAGGCTGGCGTTACCCAGGTGTTATACTTGCCATCCCAACATTGTCCAATACATGTATGGGATATACCCAATATTTGCATTATAAGAGTATAAAGACGTCGTCAAGTACGTAGATAGTAGAAATGACAAGACTGAATAGTGAAAAGTCCATCAATTTTAGCCGCATCATGTCGTGATCATCGAAGGGAAGAAGAAAAATATGTAGTAGGGGGCCCATGTGTCTCAAGTGACAAGAATCAGATGGCAAAAATTTACCACAACATCTGATATGGTAAAAACACACCATCTCCCTTGCTGACCCTGTCCTCAAAACATGTCAGAGCACCATGTTTACTTTGCCTAGCTTGTCAGCTTTGGCATATCCTACTCCAAAGTAGGGGGTACCCATCATTTACCAGAAACATATGAACAAAAAATATCAAACAAACTCACGGTAACAAGCATGGTTCGCACCTTGACAAAACTTTTGCAAACCATGCACTCCCTCCCTTCTATCCCCTCTGATGAACTGTCCCGAAAGATGCCCAAAATCCGTCGGCCCGTCTTTACAATTCCCACTGACCCATTGAGACTTTCCAAGGGAAACGTGACCCAGCCCTG